CTTCACTTGATAAAGTTGATATATTTCAGGTTTCTCTATCAGATAGATTCTCCTTTCCTTATCATTATTAAGATTTTGCAAAAGATATAATTTGAAACTATAAAAATCCTATTCATAAAATGATACACATATACATGTTTATGCATTTTTTTTCAGTTTTCTTTATATTTAATGGGTTATAATCACCATTTACTTGGATACATGAAATATTCTCACTTTGGCCAATTGGGGCACATTCTATCTGTCTTTGGGTTCTTTTACTATGTTTTCATCATTCTTTTAGTACTTTCTCGCTTTGAGGCCCAGTAAGAAGTGCTAGGCTGTCTTATACTTCTCCTACCACAACTCTAAAATTAACCATTCACCCAGGGAGTTCTAATTTGCTTTAGTAGAAAATTTAGAAGCCAAAATCTGGTTGCTAGGTGTACTCATTGACATTGAAACCTTGCTACTCCCAGTCTAGTCACACACACACACACACACACACACACACACACACACACACACTATATGCATATTTTACTTTATCTGCCATCATCATATATCTGTTTAAATTGAGAACGATGAACTCAAACCAAGATTCCAAACTACTATTTAATATCATGAACTTTTGTATTTATAATTTCATTGTTTAACATTGAGAAAACTTCTCTACTACATTTAATAAAATTACTTATTTGATCATTTTTCTGATTTAAAACTAATCTTTCATTTCCGCTGCCACTCCGAGGAAGGAGTAGATGCTGTCCTTGTCCTTCTTGGACTCTGCAACCACACTCAAGCAGCTCCTTAGTAGGAATGCCCTCCCCACCACATGCAGACTCTTAGTCCCCAAGATAACCCACTCATCCAGGATAGATTTCCTCCTTACCCTACTTAGCAGTGATTCATCACGCAGGGAGAGATGCTCATATTCCTTCATGGAGGTCCTTCTCACCCTGCTTGGCATCCAAAACCTCTTTCATGGCTATCCCTTGATTCCTTCCTCACCCAGCATAGGCTTAATTCCTCTACTCTGAGCTGCCGCTACAGAAGGAGGCAGGAGTACTCTGCTTCTGTTGATGGATTCAGAATTTAATTGTTCAGGAAGAGAATTTAAGGAGAAGAAAGGGGAAAAAAGGAAAGAAGAAGGGATATAGGAAGAGGAAGTGAGAGTATAAAAGGAAAAGAAAAATTTTAAACTGTTCAATGTAGAAAAGTAATACAGACTTCCTGTGAGACATTAAAAAAACTGAAATATATGAAACATTGTTTCTGTTTTTGAAAAAATCTTTCAATTGTATGTATCAATCATTTTATCATATATTCTACAAATATGTCTTTCAACCTTTGTTTTGCTTTTTTATTTGATTATTTGTTAAAACGTTTTATATGGAATCATTTAGGCCTATATTACCTTTGTGGGTTTTTTTTATTTCTTTTACATTTATTTATTTTTGAGAGACAATGAGTGGAGGAGGGGTAGAGAGAGAAGGATTCACAGAACCCAAAGCAGTCTCCAGGCTCTAAGCAAGCTGTCAGCACAGAGCCCAACACAGGGCTCAAACTCATGAACTATGAGATCATGACCTGAGCTGAAATCAGGTGCTCAACCAACTGAGCCACTCAGGTGCCTCTACCTGTGTTTTGTTACTTAAATATCTAAAGCAGACAAGCAAAAACAAACAAAAAAAAAATAGCATTTAATTTATTTTTCTTGCATAAAACTATGTGGTGTCCAAAAGTGGAGCCAGGGTCCTCTGCATGGAGACTCTGGTGTCGATCTTTACAAGATGCTCAGTAAGTTCCTGATAGGGAGACTTTGTGAACACATTCTCTTGCCAGCGGTCAGAGGTGAGATAGCTGTAGGTCTTGGAAGAGGCATCAAACTTGGCCTTTGTGAAGTTGCCCAGGGTGACAGTGCAACTGCTGGGCGAGGTGTGGCAGTCGTCAATACCAGCCACCATCAGTAGCTTCATGGGCACAGGGCCTGAGACAGTGCCAGTTAGGCTTTTTAATTATTGGCTTGGGAACACATGTACTCTTTTATCATTGTGTGTGTGTGTGTGTGTGTGTGTGTGTGTACACTGTAAATCATTTAAAGTGATTCAAAACAGATCTACATACTAAAGCTTGAGCTTATATGTGGTAAACAAATGGTTCCTTGTGAAATTAAAAATATAAAAATAGTCTATAAATCCATTTTGAGTTCCTGCTTATTCTGCTAACTCCAACTAGGCAGTTAGGCTTGCAATGAGACTCAAAGCTCTGTGCTAAGGAAACAGCGCTCAGTTATCTTATTTGCCAAGGTCTTGCATGACAAGGATCATTCAAAACGAATTAAGACAAGAACCAGCCCAACTGTACCTCAACAGGTGAATGGATAAACAGATTTTTATATAGGCATACAAAGGAGCTCAGCAATAAAAAATAAATAACTGGTACATACAACATGGATGAATTTCAGAGTAACTCTGTTGAATGGAAGAAGCCAGACAAAAAGTATATATGCTATATGATTCCATTTATCTACAACTCTAGAAAATGTAAACTAATATTTAATGACACAAAGAAGTGTATTGGTTAATTGGAAGAGAGAGGGGCAGAGTAGAGTACAAGAAAACTTTTTGGGATAATAAATATTTTCATTATCTTGGTTATGGTGAGGATTTCAGAGATACATATGTAGGTCAAAATTTATCAAATTTTATATATTTTTTAAATGTTTTTTTAAAATTTATTTCTGAGAGAGAGAGAGAGAGAGAGAGAGAGACCGAGCAGGGGAGGGTCAGAGAGAGAGGGAGACACAGAATCTGAAACAGTCTCCAGGTTCTGAGCTAGCTGTCAGAGCCCGACGCGGGGCTTGAACCCACGAACTGTGAGATCATGACCTGAGCCGAAGTCAGACACTTAACCGACTGAGTCCCCCCAGGCACCCCAAAATTTATCAAATTTTAGACTTTAAATATTTGTAGTTGATTGTATGTCAAGTATAACTTAGCTAAGCACTTAACATTTTTTCTAGTTAATTAAACTATATTTTCTTTAATGGCTTCTGGATTCTTGTCATGCTTATTTTTTATTTTTTAATCCCGTATTCTATTCATCTAGGTGTTGTGTATTTATTTGTCTGTTTGTTTGTTTTAGAGAAACTATCTAGTGAGCAGGGGACGAGTGGAGAGAGAGAGAACCTTAAGCAAGCTCTATACTTTGTGAGAGCCCGATACAGGGCTCGATCTCATGATCTTGAGATCATGACCTGAGCTGAAATGAAAAGTCAGACACTTGACTGACTTAGCCACCCAGGTGCCCCTAGGTTTCATTTTTAATAGTATAAAATGATAGATTAGCTTTGTTTTCTTCTAGTTGCATGCAGATAAAAATATAAATAACAAAGTTCCATTCTCCTATGAATGAAATAAAATGATATTTGTAATAGAATAATTTCCTGTTTTTTTTTTTCCACAGGAACAATCTTTTTAAACAATCTTATATTTTTAGATTATAATAATGACTTTATTTATATCCTGTGTCAGTATTATTGCCTTTTATGTGGAGTGGATTTATAGAACATTTTATGATCTGTTAAGATATAGCCCTACTTAAAATTATCAAAATGATTTAGCTTTTATTTAACTGTTTTCTTCCTTTGTAACTTTGAAATCTTCCAGGTTTTTGTTTTTTAACTCTTTCAGACTCTGATTAGAGTTGCATTAATTATAGTAAACTTTTTAGGATGATAACTCTGGTATTCTAAGAAGTTTTCTCTTGCTCATCATTTGATAAATGAATAAAACTTCATAGTTTGAACTATGTAAGTACTGTCTTTCCTGTGAATTTTTTTGTACCATATACTCTATTTCTAACATGTAATTACTGTTATATAAATCTATTTTTATATAATATAGCTGTTAATTTGTAAATAGGAATCCTTTTTGCTTTCTAATTAATATAGGTTATTTTGTTATTGTATTAGCAATAACCTAAAATATACCATGCTGTAGTAATGTATAATTATTTGTAGAGTAGACATTTCATTTTAAAACAATTATATATGTAAATAAGATTAAATATACATCATAAAAACTTAAATACAGCATAGCATATTATGTAAGAAGTTCTGGAATTAGGCACTCCTAGACATCAGTTACTAGCTCTTTGATCTTTGAAACTTATGTAACCACTCTAAGCCTCAAAGTGTTTACCTATCAAACTAAATAATCATGCCTACTTTCTGGTTGATATGAAATTAAGTAAAACAACCTACTTAACATATTTATAAGTTTGCATGAGTAAGTATGCAATGAAAATCAACTAAAAGAAAAACATATTTAAATAATAGTAACCTTGGGGCTCCTGGGTGCTTCCTTTGGTTAAGCATCTGACTTAGATTCTGGTTATGATCTCATGGTTCCTAAGTTCAAGCCCCGCATTGGACTGTCTGCTGATAGTTCAGAGCCTGCCTGGGATTCTCTCTCCCTCTCCCTCTCTTTCTCACTTTGTCCCTGCCCCACCCCCCACCTCTCAAAATAAGTAAACCTTAAAAAATAATAGTAACCTAGCAGTTAGTAATCATTACATAAAATTAGCCTTTTTTTTGTTTGTGAGAATTATAGAATTCAGCATATAAGGCAACATGATTTGAGGAAATAAGTAATGACTATTTAAATAACAAAAGTCATGGTTTACATACTAAACAAATCTTGTTAGCTTGATAAACACAGAAGAGTAATTTAGCCATTTGGACCTGTTCCTTGACATAAAAATTAGTGATGATAAACGATTTTACTAATTGAGTTGCTGAATCCAAAAAAAGATGAATGAATTTCATGTCCCTTTGTTAAATTATAATAGAAAAGTCACATCAGGAACTTCAGGCATTTTATGAGTATCAGATAATATAATATGTCACAGATAATGTAATGTCTTATAATCTAGGAAATGGTAAACTGAATATATATGAATTAAAGTCCTGTTTGTAATTCAGAATAAGTAACAGATATGCAACAGCAATAACATACCCTGTTTTTGTATTTGTTCAGATCATTCAAAGAAGTCCTTTTCATATATTTGATTTTAGATTGAGTCCATGAGCATAGCTTCTTATTCGCTGAGATATGTTCAATGAAATTGGTAATTGCTTCCAAGAACGTTTTATATTATGAGGAAAACTTCAGTGTTTAAATTGTCTGTAAATTTCCATGGACTCTGAAAGAATGCAGGAAAAATTCTAGAACAAAACAGGCTTTCAGTATGAATTCTCTGTTCTATTAGGTAGTAAATTGGATCTTAGGCAGACTTACGGTTAAGTGTAATATTGCAGCATAGAGAAGGGAGGAAGCAAATGTAGAAAGAAGAAAGAAAGTGAACTCAAGAGGAATGTGGCACAACTAATTTAAAGGAAAAAGACTGAAGAAAGTCACAAAGATAAAGAAATGGAACAATAAGAATTAGACATATGGAAAAAATAGAAAGATATTACAACATTGATGTTTCCAGTTCATGATAGTCCTTTTTCTAAAAAAATTATTTTTTTTAATTTCTGTACATTTGCTAAAGGTCTTTGAGTATGACATTCTCAAGTATACTTTAAGGGTTAGTCTTATTGACCTACAAATTAGCAATAATTTAAAAATATGTGATTCCATTTTTTAATCTGTTTATCTTTGTAATTCCTCCATAGAGCTACTACCATTAGAACTATCATTTCAATGATATGAGTATGATACACACACTAAGAGTTTGGAGTCACCAAAAATCATTTACTACGTATGCCAGGTAATAATTGTTGGTAGCTTTGTATGTTACTAGTATTCTGTTATACTCTTTTACCTTTTAGTCTCATTTAATTGTTACCAAATTGTTACCAAATTTTTAGAAAGTAAGAACTCAACTTTAGAGTAGATGTGTTCATCATGCAAGATCATATAAAAAAAAGGAGTAAAAATAAAATTTTCATGGTCAATTCCAAGATGAGATTTTTAAAAATGCAATAGCCACAATTGTTGTAAAGATAATTTGTTCACTACAAAGTTAAGTTTATTAGTTAATAGTAAGGTAATTTCTAAGAACTAAGACTTCATTCTCTTTAAGTCACCAAACCTTTGACTGCATTAATAGAATATCCATATACCAAGTCAGTTAAAGGACTTTAGCCAAATACTGCATAAAGATAAGGTGCCTTGAGAAAGCAGAATAATATTCTGGAAAATAAGAACAGAAACAGAATCTCTCAAGTATTCACAAGTTAGGCCTATTTCTATTTGTAAAGAAAACCTTGGGTTGGAAGGAAAGCTGGACAGTCCTTTAGTCGATGGCAGGGGAAAACGAATACAGTAGCCAGGAAGTGTTGGGTTCTGGAGACTTAGCCGAGCATTTATTTCTTCATTCTACCTAATGGATCTTTAAGTAATTTTAGCCTCTGTGATAAACCTCTTGGGTTTATTCAAGCCAGAGGAGATTCTCTTTTTTACAGTTGAATCCCAACTAATCATCAAAATTATTGCTATTAAATGTGTCTGGTATATGAGATGTCGGTGAATCCTGTGAAATGTAAAACTGTGAAAAAGATTGAAAATATAGTGTAGGGAACAAAAGAAACCTCAGGTTTTTCCATAATACATTTTGTTACTAACATTTCTTTAAAAATGTCAAAATCTTATACCTGTTAATTATTGGTTGTGTGAACACAGGTTTTTTTTTTTTTTATTGTCTTTTTTTTTATTGTCTTTCTTTTTCCTGCATTCTAAAACATTGAAAGCAATAAAAAAGATCTACTGCTACTGTATAAACTTATATATGAAGAAAAAAATCAAATGCTTCCCTGTGAAATTATAAACAAGCTAAGAGCCTATAAATTCACTTTGAGTTCGTAATGACTTTTAGAATTTTCCAGCATGGCATTATGTTTGCAAGTAAGACCAAAGCTAATGCTTTTAAAAAGACCATTTAGGTACCTTATATACCAAGCTTTTGGATGAAAACATTCATGAAAAACTATCTCTACTTTTGGAAATATTTTTAAACTTTTTTCTAAACTGTCAAATCTATTTTATTTTATTTTTTAACTCTTCAAACAAAAAAACAAACAAAAACACTTCTTACACTGATTGTTGGGTCTGAAATATGTTTAGCCTAAAGGGTACTAAGTAGAAGCCCATATGCCCTGGTCTATAAGTTACTCTGTCACTCTGAGTCATGTTACCTTATCTACTTTTCACTTTGCTTATTTGAAAAAAGAAGGGTATGGAGTGTTAAACTATACAGAATGAAAATAGTTTGTTTCCCTGTTCTTTTCTCTTCGATATGAAAGCTTTTGTTTAAAGAAACTCTCACTTAGAACAGCAAGGAGATAAACAAAATGTATTCACCTCCTTCTTATGGTAAAATATGCTAATCTGTGGGTACTTTGAAAACAATAACTCATCCAAAATTTCTACATCACAATAAATGGAGTTTGGATATTATAAATAATTAATTTAAATTGTGAACTGCTCTGTGCCTTACTTGATATATGGGCTGTATTCTTTAATGCTATTTTTGAAAATAAAGTTTACTCTCTCAAACTGTACTGCCCATATAGTAGGCACATGTAGCTGTTTACATTTGCATTTAAATTAGTTAAAATTTTTTAAAACTCCATCACCTGCAACTGAGATATTTTGTCTTCGATAGCCACATGTGGCTAATGGCCACCACTGGACATTTCTGTCATTACAGAAAGTTCTATTGCCAGTGTTTCTTTAAAAAGCTAGACAAACCCCAGAGGTATGATGGAGCTGCATATGTAGATGACTATCTGCATGTTAGCTGTACAGAAGGAAGACATTGCCATGTGGCAAAAAGAAAGCAATAAAAATTTGTTCCTGCAAGATTGGTGTGAGAACTGAAAACAATGTAAATGGGACTAGTGAACCTAGAAAGAATTCAACAAACCATACTGAACACTATAAATGTTCTCTCATCTATGTTAAATATATACCTGTCTATAGGTATGGATACAAATCTATCTGTTTTTTAAAAGTAATCTCTGATTTTATAAATAAAGTACGTAAGGAGAGCCATAAGTAATTATGAGGGCTAGTGTATTCATAGAAGCTGGGGAAGAAATGGGAGAGACTAAAGAGTATTTTTTGCTTGTTATACTCAACAAGTGTTGTCAAAGTTGATGCATTTACCATCAAGAGAGTAGACTATTCAGGTTCTTCTATCACTCTCCTCAGAAATGAACCCTCTGGATACCCTACCAAGTGTTAGGTAGTGTTAGAATTCAATGAACCACTTGTACCAGGCCTTGGTTGATATGCAGACCAAAAGAGAAGTACCTAGGAACTTTGGTGGAAGAGAAGAGAGGTAGAGAGGAGGGAGGGATTGTTGCTTTACAGTGCATGAACTGTATCATTGAAATATTGAATGATGTTGCTCTCAAATGGCAATTGTTCTCAAAAAGAGATAAAGTGACAAAAATGTCTGATATTTTGTGTTTTGGTTGGGTTTGGGTTTTGTCTTTTCCTTGCTGTTAGTTTCCTTTCCCCCATGTTTACTGAGGTATAATTGACAAATAAAATTGTATATAAATACGTACAACCTGATGTTTTCGTATATGTCCACTTTGTGAAATAACTTCACCTTGCATAGTTACCATCATCTCTCTTCCTCCTTTTCTCTCTCTCTTTTTCTTCCTTCCTTTCTTCCTTTCCTTCCTTTCCTTTCTTCCTTCCTTTCCTTCCCTCCCTCCTTTCCCTCCCTACCTGCCCTCCCTTCTGCCCTCCCTTATTACAGTATTACTGACTATATTCCCTATGCTGTACTTTTCATCCTCATGACTTATTTACTTTATAATTGGAAGTTTGTACCTTTTAATCTTCTTGACCTATTTCTTCTATTCCCCATTCCTTTCCCCTCTGGCAAAATCACTTTGTTCTCTGCATTTATGAGTCTAAAATTGCTGTTTTGTTTTGTTTTTGGATTCTACATATAAGTGAAATCATAAGGTATTTGTCTTTGCCTTATTTCACTTAATTTAATACCATCTAGGCATATCCATGCTGTCACAAACAGCAAGATCTCATTCTATTTTTATGGCTGAGTAATATTCTAGCATGTGTGTGTGTGTATGTGTACACACACCGTTTCTTCTTTATTTCTCTATTGATGGACACTTGGGTTGTTTCTATATCTTGGCTATGTAAACATAGCTACAGTAAAGTAGGGGTGTATATATCTTTTAAAATTAGTGTTTTAATTTTCTTTGGAAAAATACCCAGTAGTGGAACTACTGGATCATACGGTATTACTATTTTTAATTTTTTGAGTAACTTCCATGCTGTTTTCCACAATGCTTGACCCAATTTACATTTCTACCAAAAATACACAAGAGTTTAGTTGTATACACATCCTCATCAAAACTTGTTATTTCTCGTCTTTTTGATGGTAGTCATTCTGCCTGATGTGAGGTGATAACTCATTGTAGTTTTGATTTGCATTTCCCTGATGAATAGTAATGTGGTGCATCTTTTCATGTGTCTCTTGGTCATCTGCATATCCTCCTGGGAAAAATGTCTATTTGTGTCCTCTCCCCATTTTTAATTAATTTATTTGTTTTGGGGGTGTTGAGTTGTATAAGTTCTTTATACATCTTGAGTAGTAACCTCTTATCAGATATATTATTTGCAAATATCTTCTCCCATTCAGTAGGTTGCGTTTTTGTTTTATTGATGGTTTCCTTTACTGTGTAGAAGCTTTTTATTTTGATGTAATCCCAATAGTTTATTTTTGCTTTTGTTTCCCTTGCCTGAGGAGACATATCCATGAATATGCTTTAATGGCAATGTCCAGGAGATTACTGCCTGTGTTTTCTTCTAGGAGTTTTATAGTTTAAGGTCTTACATTTAGGACCTTAATCCACTTTGAGTTTGTTTTTGTGTACATTGCAAGTTGGTGGTCCAATTTCATTCTTTTGCATAATAGCTGTCTGGTTTTCCTAACACCATTTATTGAAGAGACTGTTTTTTCCCTATTGTATATTCTTGTTTCCTTTGTCACAGATTAATTGACCACATAAGTGTGAGTTTCCAGGCGCCTCAGTGGCTCAGTCAGTTAAGCATCCAACTCTTGATTTTGTCTCAGGTCATGATCATGAGATCGAGCCCCTCATTGGGCTCTGTGCTGGGTATGGAGCCGGCTTGGCA